AAAAACTGTCTGGTACCCCAACATTCATTTTCTATGGCCAAAACCATGGGGAACCTATGGAAAAAGGTTAGCACACCTGAGACGGTACATACTCTTATCTTTCACATGGTACACCCATGCCATCACATAGAAGTAGATAAACAACGTCTTTAAAATGTAATTCATAGAAAATAAGAATGATATATAAATTGAATGCCCCAAACACTCAGGGTCTTGGGGCTTTGTCTTTTTCTATGGCCAAAACCATGGGGAACCTATGGAAAAAGGTTAGCACACCTGAGACGGTACATACTCTTATCTTTCACATGGTACACCCATGCCATCACATAGAAGTAGATAAACAACGTCTTTAAAATGTAATTCATAGAAAATAAGAATGATATATAAATTGAATGCCCCAAACACTCAGGGTCTTGGGGCTTTGTCTTTCTCTCTTTCGGTCTGCGTTTTGTTCCTTTGGTCGTATCTCTGTCTCTCTGCCCCTCCTCTCGGCTCCCTCACTCTGTCTGAGGGCAGACCATGCTCTGTCTATGGACCATTATCCTTTCTCTAATAAACTTTCTTTTTGACTCTTACTTTGGCGTGCACTTGAATTCTTTCCTGCTCTCAGTCAAGACTCCTCTCTCTAGGAGCAGGACTTGAATGTCCACTCGGGAGAGTTCACCCTGTCCTGCGTCATTGTCTCATTGTGAAACTCATAGGTTATGATGTCAGATCCGTGGAAAAACTGATTTTGCCGTTCATGTCATTGTTCATCTTGTTTCTGTTTCTCCGAGCTGAGACCATCCGATGTACCGCCGATGGCTGTGAACATGCACTTGAGATCTCTGAGAGAACATAACGCAGCAGCGACACTATAATGATAACTATTAGAAGGATAATACCGAAAGACTTAGCCAGGGCCCCCACGAACCAAACCAGTTAGTATCAAATAAATCAAATGATGTATACCTGAAGGGGCATCAACCTGTTTTAGCCAAGTGGCTTGTTTGTTAATTTCTTGAATTTGCTGCAGTACCAGAGGTGTCGATCCAGCTACAGCAGGAGGTATTTGCTATGGCAGATATTTGAGGAAACCAAAAGCATTCAGGATCCAGTTCAATTTATAGATACAGTTTTCTTTT